GGATTTAAACCCACCACCTTAGGTGTATGTGGCTGGCGCCTTAGCCGCTTGATCCACAGGCGCCGAGCCTATTTGTAATTCTAATGCTTATCTTTGTTTGGCGGGCCCAGGCTGGGGATTTGAACCCACCACCTTAGGTGTATGTGGCTGGAGCCTTAGCCGCTTGAGCCACAGGCGCCGAGCCACAAGCTAACTTCTTGTTTGAAGAAACAGATGGACAAATGAGATAAGCAGGTCTTGTAAGATTATTCTTGGTAAATTAAAAAACATGATTGACAGTAACAGGCTCTATCTCAGGCCATGTCTTCTTGGGCTTAACAAATTTAATAAAGTAGAGCAACTTTAAAAAAAAAATTAGGAGTTAGTTATCAAGTACGATCCCCATGATGTATTTTTATACTGTAATATATAATAATGCCTATTATATTATCACCGTAAGAAATTGACTAGTAATTTTAAGGCACCTGGAAAAAATAACTCAGTAATAAGATTTTTGCATGAAGACTTTCAAAGGGAATCATGAAATGAAATAGTTGTGGGAAGGTGGGAAATTTGGAAACCTTATCAGTGGGAATAAAGCAGTCAGGGTTTTTATGAACGACCATCGTAAGTGAGGTGGAGCTTGGAACGGCTAAACAGGGACAGAGGAGCAGCCTGGGACCCTGGATACTCACATGTGATCCCAATCTTGTAGAGCTCTCTGAATTTCTGATTGTAGCCTTCCCCAGGAACATAATCTCCCAGACCAATGGTGCTCAGGGAAATAAAACAAAAATAAAAGGATTCGAGGAAGTTCCAGTCGTCCTCCAGGACGGAGAAGACGGCAGCCGGGATGAAGAAGAAACAGGACACTGTGACAAACCCGAGAGTCACGGCGTGGACGATGGCCACCACCTGCTTGGAGAAGCCCCAGCGGACGTGGAAGTACAGGACAGGCCTGCGGGTGACGTGCACAGTGACACGCTGGACCACGGCCGTCAGGAACAGGAGGGTGAAGGGAATGCCGATGACCGAGTAGATGATGCAGAAGGCCTTACCCCCATCCGACAGGGGCACGGTGTGGCCATAACCTGCAAGAAGAACGGGGCACTGGGTGAGAAGGACGAGACGAAGTGGTGGACACATGTTTAAACACTATGTGTATCGGCTGCCCTTATCCCTCTCAAACAAAGTATGAAGGGGTTAAGGGTAAAATTCAACTGTGGATGCCAAAAATTAGAAAGTCCATCACTCTTTATCAAATCTGACCAGCAATTCTAACACATCTGCGTCTCTGGTCTTGAATTCACTATTAGGCTGAAACAGAAGTTCCATGTGGTAGGGAGCAAAGGTGCCCACCCACTTGGACCACTGGGAAACACTCATCGCCTGCTTTAGTAGAGCTGATCTACCGTGCACTCCCCATCCCAGTCCCCCAAGGAATCTCATTACTACCTAAACCCCAGTCTACACCACCTCCCAAACATACTACTCACAGAATATTCTAACAGGAGCGAGGGAGGGTGGAATAGACAATGAAGATACAGACGTCAAAAAAAGAGGAAGAAAAGTTGAGATTAAAGCACACCCATCGAAGGACTGAGCACTTCTTTTCAAATATTTTGCCCAGTTATCTGGGTAAGTAGCACATTCAGAAACCAAGACACTTTCCCCTTTCTGTTATTTCCATATGTTCAAAGATGCCACACACTGCACCAACAAACATTAAGAAAATTACACCAGGAGCAGTATCAAAACATCTATCTGCTTTACTTTCTGTAAAGTTTGAGTCATTCCCTAGACAAGCCCATCAAGAAAACTCTTGATCCAACAAATGTCAGCAGGAGGGGCCCAGCTGGGCCTGAGGCTCGGTGGGCAGTGTTAAAAATCTCATGAGCACATTATCTTGAAAGGACGAACGAGTCTGAACAAGTCAGTTCAGGAAAACTACATGCATTTCTTATGAAAGTGGATTCTGAGAAAAACACATATGCGATTATAACTGGAAAGTAGTTTTAAAATCTGATCTTTACAGTACATCCTGTTTAAAAATAAACAAAACCTTGAGTTGCGAATTGTAGGAGACGGAGCACCAGGCTTGTAAGAGCGGTTACCGGTTCTTGAGGGAGGCGCTGGGAGAGGGACAATCTCCTAGCTAGCATGGAGATGTTTCGCAGCCTGGAGACAAGTCCTCAAGCACCTGCACGTTGAACCTTGGACATCTGAGGTGCAACAGGGTGGGAGTGGAGCCCGTGGGGAAGGAGCGGTAGCGATCATTAAGCACATAGTTCCAGCACGTGGACCCTTCACAACAGTTGTATAATGCTTCAATAAAAGGCCACGACAGAGGTTACTCAGGGCTCTCCCTGGAATGTTAGGAAGCCCACCTCTTGCAGGCTTGTACCTTTCATCCGTGTCCTGCTATTTTTATTCGCAGGGGTACTAGGTGCCCACAGCAGGCACCACCAACACATCCTACAAATCAACAAACAAACAAACATTAAGAAAATCACATTCCCACAGCCCAGTACATGTGGTTTATTGAAAGGCTCCCTCATACACAGCCTCAATACAGCAGAGTCAGGGTTCTTAATCCGCTGTCCCTGCAGGTACAGTTTATGGATGAATAATAGCGGGCTCCAGGAATCCTCCTGAATTGTATGGAAATGTGTACATTTGCCCTTATGCATTTTCTTGTAAACAGATTCCAGAGCTTAGATTCTCAAGGGGGTACGGACTCCAAATGGTTAAGAATCACTGTTTGGAGTGTCAGTTCCTGAATCCATCTGGTTCCTGCACCCCCTACTGCTCCTGGAATGGGTTGGCTAATTTGGGCCAAGCTGGGGAGCATCTAGGGAACAGCGGAAAGGAGGGTGACAGCATGCCAAATAATGCTCACGCAACATAAGGAAGCAGGAAACTCTGAGTGTTTACTTTTGAGAAAAAGTGTGAAAGAGGCTTGAGATGGTTCTGAGTAAAGCAGCCCACATCACAGAGACACCAGGGCAAATGGGAGCTACTGTTCCAGCTAGGCCTTGGGGAGGGATATTCTGATGATCAGAGGTATCTGCAACAGAATCTGAAAATGGAATTTTATTTAACTATAACAAAACCAATTGCAATGTGATTCACAGACATTTTAGTCGCCGGTACTTACAAACCAGTGACTAAAAGTATTAGGCAATAAAAGTACTCGCCAGACTAGAGGGTCAACAGAAACAGCAAGAGATGGACTCGCGTTTGGCAAGGATTTTGTAGAGCAGAGGTCCCCAGCCTTTTTGGCATCAGGGACCAGTTTCATGAAGATACTTTTTCCACTGACAGGGGGTAAGGGGGTGGTTTCAGGATGATTCAAGCACATTACACTCCTCCTCAGATCATCACCCTTAGTTCTCATAAGGAGCCACAACCTTGGACTGATCGCAGGCACAGCAAGCTCCGCCCTCTTAAGAGTATCTGAAGCAGCCACTGATCAGACAGGAGGCGGAGCTCAGGCGGTGATGTCAGTGATGGGGAGTGGCTACAGACCAAGCTTCACTTGCTCACCCCTTGCTCACCTCATGCCCAAGGTTAGAGAGGAAGCACGTGATTAGCTACAAAAACCCTTTAAGTGCATAATTTTATAACTTTTTTGAGTAGCACTTTTATAAATTAGCTTTCCTAAAAGTATAACACACCGATTTCACATAGCCCACATCTTCTGTTCTATCCATTGCAATAAATTACATGGTTTAGGTTCTAGTAGAGAAAAAACATAAACAAATTTCTAGTTTTAAAATATCTTAGGATATGAGTTTTCTCTCAAAGGATGATAGCTCTTTGCATTAGAATGTTAACTAAAGATCACTGACTAAAATGCTATTTCCAAGCAGTAAGACAATCATCGTAAGACTCAGATCTCTCTGTAGTAATGACATTTTTATGCTAGCACTCTAATATATTCCCACTATGAGATTAAAAGTCACCAATGGGGAGATCCTTATCGAAAGCCATTTTCTTCTCTTGACGTGTACGTAAATAATCTTCATTAATGGAAAGTAAGATATATGTTTACCCTCTCACGTGTAGTCTCCACCCGTTTAGTGCGGGCCCTATCGGGAAACCCACCCTCTGTGAGGACTACACAGCCATTCTTTTGCAACAGACAACTCAGAGATTGGATGGAAACTTTTGCTCCTACTGAATTTCAATGAAGTGGTAAACAATTTATTCAAATTCAGTCAATAGAACTTACAGATATAACACAAAGCGAAGTTCCTATTTTAAAATCTTATGATCATATTAATCCATTACAAACCATGAAGAATTTGGCAAAATATTGACAAGCACTGCATATATGGGGGTTCTTTAAAATTTTCTAAGGCTGTTCATATAATTTAGGGGCCCAAAAGACTGAGCACAACAAAATCTACTGACTTCAAAATTAACTGGAATCCTGAGATAAGACTCCCACATACAAACGGTCTCGGCTTCTAGCCCCTTCCTCCATGGTTGCTGGATTTCTTGTTACGACTTTGCACCTATGAGGCACATAGGCTTCTACATATAGTGGGTGGTCATATTGAGGACAGGCCCTACAGAACTTGGCTTCCCATCCAGCTACTCTAACTACAACAGCCCTGACAGCTGGGGCTACGCCGTGCCAGATACAGCCCTTCTGGTTTTTCTGGCGTTTGAGGGCCAAGAGAAGACAGCTTATGTGGGCTCCTCTTCAGTACATCAGAGGAAGCCACTGATACTCTACTTCTTCACAAGTGCCAGGTGCTTTTGAGAGTTTAGCTTATAAGGACCCCACGTCATGACCTGGAGTGTATGACAAATACCCTCAACTATTTACATTATTTAGTATGATATGGATCAATGTATATATTCTCCATTAAGTCAGCTTGATCCACGCTAAACAAAAAGCTACAAAAGTAGTCTTGGCCTCCAAAATCAACTCCAGCGGGGATACTGAAATCAGATGCAAAGCTCTGTCTTCTGTAAAACAGACTGGACTTTGCAATCCTGGACTTCCGCTCTTTCATTACCCCATTCCCACTGTACTGTGTGTCCCCCAGGGGGAAGACCATGACCTTCTCTAGCTTGTGCCTCTCCGGGTTCCTTGACCACAGTGGTATCTGCTATGCAAACCACAGGGGGCAGCAACACTGGTGCTGCAAGTGACTGCAAACTTGGGTGGGCTAGAAACTCTCTGGCTGGTGATGAACAGGTATCAAGCTTTCCCCTCGACGTTAATCAATCTTGTCCTTGGCTTGAGATAAGTGTTCAGTACAGTGCTGTGCAGGTATGTAGCCGAGGAGTAACAGGCCACACCACACAGGCTGGGTGTGTGGCAGGCTAGAGCAGGCAGGTGTGCGTAATGATGACGTTTGTACAATGGCAACATCGCCTGGTGACACACTTCTCAGAAACTGTCCCCGTAGCTGAGCAAGGCATGACTGTGCGATCAGTTTCTTTCCTGGCTTCCTGGAGTTAGCACATACTATCTAACGTATAAACAACTCCTTTTGTCCTGATGATCCTTATTCAATAAGTACTTTTTCATTTTATTCTGCCTGCTTCTTGGTCACTTGTCTCAAATTACATAAAAGTTGTTTTTAATTTTAATGTTTAACTAAGCAAGTGGCCACATGAGGAATTCCTATCATGAATGCTTTCTTTTCTATGCGTTAACAATTTTCAGAGTTAATTCTTTATGACTGTAGGCAGCACGCATGTGTTCATTTCACCCCTCAAACTGGTAATCGATCCCTGCGGTTTCATTTCTTGACATATTTCTTTTTTCCTAGGACTGTTTACTCTTTAACTTCTAAATATCTTGAATGATCTTTCTTAGGGTGAGAATTAAAATGATGACTGTTTTTATTTTTTCAAATTTTTAGAACTGCTGTTCAATCTATTTTTAAAATACGTATCCCCTACATTGCCTTTTCACTCCACTCTCTGAGTGGTCTCACAAATAAGACCATCTTATGGAACCTTGCTTCATAAAACTGAAATTTTGAAAGAAGTAAGTACATTGAATAAACTTTTTTGGCAGTTTTTTTTTTTTTTTTTTTTTTTTTTTGGCCGGGGCTGGGTTTGAACC